CGGAGTTTGGAGTTTGGAGTCCTGAGCTTTGTACTCTGGTCCATCGCTTGATGGCCCTGTGGTCTTGGATGAGTTACAGAAAGTTCAGGGCCTCGGTTTGTTTCTAAAGTGGGGCTTCTTGGAGGTTGTTATGGGATGAAAAAGAATGCACCCCACAAAGGGAAGAGACAGCCTCAGTAGACAAAAGACAACATTAGTTACCTTTCTGTGGCTGTGGCAAAATACCATGACCAATGCAACTTGTCGAAGAAAGAGTTTATTTGGATTTATAATTCCACAGGCATAAGAGTCCATGATGGCAAGGAGGCCTGGAAGCGAGTGATAGCCATGGCAGCTAGAGCAGAAGCTGAGGGCTTCACTTGAAACCGCAAGCAGGAAGCAGAGAAGAAACCCCAACCTCTGCCCCCAAGTGAGATGCTTCCTCCAACAAGGCCACATCTCCTAAATCTACCTGTCTTAGTCAGGGGTACTATTCCTGCAATGAAACTCCATGACCAAAAGCAATTTGGGGAGGAAAGGGTTTATTTGACTTACGCTTCCACATCACTGTTCATCATCGAGTGAAGTCAGGACAGGAACTCAAGCAGGACAGGAACCTGGAGACAGGAGCCAATGCAGAGGCCAGGGAGGAGTGCTGCTTTCTGGCTTGATCTCCATGGCTTGCTCTGCCCCAGGTGCTCTCCAGAGTCAAAGCAATCCTGAACAGAATTCCAACGTACTTTTCTGCAAAATATTGACACGTTGGTCCTAAAATTCACATGAAAACGCCAGGAATTTGGAATAGCTGAAACAAAATTTAAACTCAGCATTTCTCATGTCCAAGCTTACTACTAAGCTCCACAGACAATACAGTGCTGGCATAATGGTAGCCATGAAGAGCAACCTCATACAAGATGGAGCCTGCACTCATACTGATGGGTTTCTGTCAATGGGCCAAACAATCCAGTGCTGAGAAAGTCATCTTTAGCAGTGGTGATGGAATAGCTGGGACCCGCATGCCAACACCAGACCCCTTCATACACAGACCCATGGTCAAGTGTAAGTATTAAATGTACAAGACTTGGAGAGTGAAGAAGTGAATCTCTATGAGATAGGCTAGGCAATCCTGAGATATGATCCCAAAACACGCAGGATGAAGAAAATTGCAATAAGTGGGTCTTCATTAAAGCCTGAACTCTTTATTCTATTGCCTGCTTGTATCTATTATCTATCTATCTATCTATCTATCTATCTATCTATCTATCTATCTATCTATCTATCATCTATCACCTAACTATAATCTATGACCTGTTGATCTGTCATTTGTCTATAATCTATGTATGTATCATCTATCTTTCTGTACCTAGCATCTGCTTCTTCATATCTATCTAGGTGTCTACTAGGTATATATCCAGGCAACTTCAAGGGCATCCCTAGTGACAAAGGGCAAGCAATTCCCAGTGTTAGGAAACTAGAGACCTCATCCACTGTGGGTGGGAGGCCAGATGGCCCAGCTGATTCGTAGATACCCCGTGTCTCCTTGAGGTCATGACCCACGATTTTACTCCCAGGGAATGCCCCCAGAGAAACAAAAGCTTGGCTACCAAAACCTTGTCCATGAACACTAGCAAATGCCAGTCAAAAGGAGCACACACCCATGCCCTTGGGCTAGAGACTGGATAGCTGAAATGCAGTACCAGCGCTGTGTGCCTTGTCTTCAGGACACATGGTCCAAGACTCAGTGGATGCTGGGACCTTCCATAGAGCAAGCTGCATCTGGACTAGTTTCCCTCATGGCCTGCAGTGCTGCCACACAGTCCCCAAGCTGTCTGTCCTTCCATGTTCTCTGCATGGGGCCTCTTTTCGCCATTATTCTCATACTTGGGACCTTCATTAACTAGAATAAGGGTTACCCAAACACAAGCCTTGTGATACTTTGAAGTTCATGAGGTAACAAAGAGGCTACTGAGAGACTGACCAGAGGCGTTTGTATACAGTGTGGATTCATTGCTCAAATGGCTGAGGAGTAGAAAGAGTGTGGGGACGCACCACGCTGCTGTGAATGGGGTGTGACAAAAACATCTGAGTTTTTTATTTGTAGAATTTTCCATTTATTACTTTGAGGCTATGGTTGACCATAGGTAACTGAAGCTACAGAAAGCAAATCAAAGGAATGTGTTCTGTACTAAAAAAATAAATAAATGAATCAATGAAGGGCCAATACACTGTACACCTCAGACACCTTAGAACCGTGATGTTAAGAGAGAGAAGCCAGTCACAGAAGGCCATGGACCGGATGACACCATTTCTGTGAAATCCCACACTGAGCAAACCTAGAGACAGAAAACAGATTAGTCATAGCCTAGGGCTGGGAGGGTTGGAGGAAGGGAGGATGGACTGCTAATAGGTACAGGGTTTCTTTTGGGGACAATGAAAATGTGGAAAAATGATTGTAGCGATTGTCACCAAGACTTGTGACAATACTGGGGACACATGGAGAACCATTGACTTTCCTTAGAACAATGATCCTGGGCCATGTGAATTACACTTCAAGCAAAGCATTGTTAAAGGGAAGAGACCGCACAACCCTGGCACATAAACCTTAACTATGACCTGGAGCCAGGCTTGGTGGGAGCTGGAGCCAGAGTTGGTGCTGGGAGCCCATCCTCTCCAGGCCCAGGAGAAAGTCAAGGGCCACCATATTCCCACAGGCCCATGCAGAGGTTTTAACTTCTTTTAGATGGGTAAAGTGCTTGATACTTAACACATTCATCTTTATACCAATGAGGTTGTGAAGTATACATTTTTTGAGACGGTGTGCTGGCTAGTTTGACGTCAACTAGATCCAAGCTAGAGTCATTTGGGAGGAGAAATCCTCAAATGAGAAAATGGCTCCATAAAATCTGGCTATAGGTGTGGCGGTATTTTACTTGTACTGAAATGTGATTTTAATTGTATGTTAATAAATAAAGTTGCCCGGGGGTCAGAGCTATTAGAGCCATAGCAAGAGCGTGGCGGTGGTGGCGCACGCCTTTAATCCCAGCACTTGGTAGACAGAGCTAGGTAGATCTCTGTGTGTTCAAGGATACAGCCAACATTGGAGACACACGCCTTTAATCTCAATACCATAGAGGACCTGGAGGGCTGTACATACAGGCAGTGACGACGCAGTCACGTGTTTGGGTTTACAACCAATGAGAAGGCAGAACAGGAAGACTATATAAGACAAACACACAGGAAGTAGGCCCCTTCTTCCCCCTTTTTGGAGAGCTCTCTTGGCTGAAGCAGGAAGGGTAAGGCTCTTAGTTCTGACCTCTTGGCTTTCTTCTCTGAATCGGCTCTGTGTTTCTTATTTAATAAGACGGTTGGTTACATCTACATGTAGGGCATTTTCTTAATTAGTGACTGGTGGGGGAGGGCCCAGCCCATTGTGGGTGGTACTACCCTGTTCTGGTGGTCCTGGGTTCTATAAGAAAGCAGGCTGAGCAAGCCACAGGGAGCAAGCCAGTACGTAGCACCCCTCCATGGCCTCTGCATCAGCTCCTGCCTCCAGGTGCCTGCCTGCCTGAGTTACTGCCCTGACTGCTTTTGATGATGAACTGTCACATGGAAGTGTAAATGAAATAAACCCTTTCCTCCCCAGGTTGTTTTTGGTCATGGTGTTATCACAGCAGTATAGCAGTATCAACCCTAACTAGGACAGATAGGGTCTCACTATAAAGTTTGGGCTGTCTTCAGATTCATGATCCTCCCAGCTCAGCCTCCCAGACGCTGGGATTATAGGCATCTGCCACTACACCTGACTGAAATATAATTTTCCGTTAGTTTTCTTTTCTATCTAGGGAAGAGGTCATGAAGGCAAAGAATCCAAGATCCAATCAGTGTGCTGGTCTGGTCTGAATTTGAACACCCCACTTAACCTCTACAGCTTTTGGGAAAATAGTATATCATTGAAGAAAGTTAAAAACAGTTTACTCAAAATGTAACAAAAAATTCAATTTTCTTTCTTGAGGGGAGGTGTTGTTGAGCTTGAGCCCCGGTCCTTATGAGCGCTTGTTACTCTGCCACTAGGCCAGCTCCTCAGCCCCCTTCCTCCTTATCGCTCCCTTCCAGAATGTTCTTGCTTGTCAACACATCTCTCTTTGTATTGTTGATCATAATCTGAGCAGCACTGTTTTGCCATTCGACCCAGGCTGGTGGCTCGGTGTCTCAGAGCCTTGCTGTTTTCATCTGTAAAGGAAGGGTCTGGCCTCTCGGTGAGGAGCAGAGGGTAGAAACAAGCATGCCTGAGCACCGGCATGCTGTCCACCCGAGGGTGGCCTGATGGATCTTGAGCAGGAGTGACACAAATCAGAGGAGAGACAACCCCTTGGAAGGACTTTCAGGCCCCCCCCCCCCCCCCAGGCCCTGGCTTCCTTAGCCCCAGCTGCCACCACGGCATTCTGGGCCTTGCCATTGTCCTGTGGCCTCCCGGAAGCTCAGGATCCAGAGTCCTTCAGGGAACTTTGTCGGAGAACTGTGGAGGTTCCAAACAGGCAAGAGGAATTAGGGCAGGAAAGGTTTAGAGAGGAGCCTGGATAGGCCAGTGGAATCCTCCCTGGGTCCACAGTGGGAATTTGAGCTCTCCTCTGTGTGTGTGTGTATGTGTGTGTGTGTGTGTGTGTGTGTGTGTGTGTGTGTGTGTGTGTGTGTACATCTGCTTCATGTGATCGGCATACAGAATGGACAGGAAAGAACTGGATGAGTCTGGGAGAACAGGACGCACAGCCTGGGCAGGATGATGGTCAGGAGGAGATGCAGGACAGGAGGTGGAGGAGCTTAGCCCTGTGGCTTGGCCAGGGATGGGGAGCTGGTGGTGCCTACCCAAGTTCCTGGTACACAACAGGACTGCTTGGAATCCTGGTTGAAGGAGCTGCCTGGGTCCGGTTAGGGGTGGTGCTGCCTCTGGGACTCTTGGAAGGGGTCAGGCAGATTGTGAAGCTGTGTCCTCCTGTTCTGAAAGCCTTCTTTTCTTTCCCAAGGTGAGACATGCCGCAGCTTCATTGACCTGGCCCCAGCCTCAGAGAAAGGTAAGTAGTTGGCTCTGCCCTACCTGGGTGCCTGCCTCGGTCTGGTGGTTTGTCAGAGCCTGGCTGTCTGTCCTGCAGCCCTGAAGCTTCCAGAAGGTGGATGTCCTGTCACACAGCACTGCCTGTCTCTGGGTGTGATGAAGTGAGGGGGTCCAGTGGAAGAGGGGCACCTTGGCTGGGTATTGAACCTACCCCAAAGACTTGCCATTTCCTTGGAAAGCTCCGTCAAGTCTCATGGGGAGACTGAGGGATAAGGGGTAAAGAAACTCAGTGTCCCTCAGCTGGCAGAAAGGAGGCAATTCTCTCAGCTGAGCGAGTGTCCAGCTGCAGGGACTGCTTCCTCTGCTTCTTCAGGTTCCCTGGAGCCATGTCCTATTTGTGCACATGGCCAATCCTGAGGTACTGGGTTGAGCCACCAGGACCTGGCTTTTACCACAGATAACTAGCAATCACTGTGGTGAACCAGCAGTTTTCACAAAGAGGGCTGGTGGCTCCTGGGGGATTGGTTACTAATCATTGTCCATCTCTGTCAGCCAAGACTTCTGTTAACCTCAGATGAAAGGTCTGTCCCTCTTACTGCCACTGCTGAAGGGGAAACATCCCAGAGGGATTACATCACCAGAATTTCAGATCAAAGGGCAGGTAGAGCTTTTGAGACAGGACCTTGAGTCCAGTGTGGGCTTGTCTGAGCAGGACTCTGGGTGCGTGCCTCCCTTAGAATGGTGGGTGAGCTCTGCAGATACATCCAGTGTGAGCCTGTAGGCACCATGTGTGCCTGTGGTGGTGCTCCAGGGCACCTGCATGGGTATGGCCATGCAGGTGCTCTGTGGAATACTGTGTGTCTGTGTACAGTGTAGGCATGTTGGCCCTGCTCTTCCAAAGGTCTCAGGTCTCTCTTGCTCTCTTTATGGGGACTGAGGGCCCCCAAGAGCGTATATCATCTGTTTTACCGGTGGTGCAGTTTGACTTTTAGGGCTTGGTGGCCACACAGAGGACTGTCTGATGGCATTTATCAAATGTTTATGAGGTGACTATGTGGCAGGCTTTGTCACTTGGTGATAGAAGGCTTTTCTGTCCCCACGGCCTCTCAAAGGCTCTGGCTTTTCCTCTGGGTGGCAGGGTCAGTTTGTGGCAGCTGAATGGCTCTCCCAGCTGCCCCCTTAGGCCCCAGGTGCTCTTGGGTCAAGCTACCTGCTCCCCATATTCCCTCTGCACTTGATTCAAATAACAGCTCAAGGCGTAGAGATGAATGACTTTCTCTGAGCCATCCCCCACCCCTCCCTTGGAGTCTGCCCCAGCGAGTCCCCGCTCTCCCCAAGCATACTTTTCTTCTAGACTCTGTGGGCCACACCAGCTTCCTCCTTCCTGGAGTCCTTCTGATCTGCTAAGGTAACAGAATGCCCCCTGCCAACACACACCAGTGGGCCTCACCGCACGGTTCTCTGGGCCCTGTTCTTCACACACAGAGTCACACAGCCCCTCCCACAGTTGAGGAAACAGGAACAGGAACCTCCCATAGTTAGGAGGTTGGATTATAACCTGGTTCTTTCCTTGTTTCTTTCTTTTCTTTTTTTTTTTTTTAAAAAAAAATGCTTACATTTAATTTATTGTGCATGCATGTATGCATGTACATACGCACCACAGCACACGTCTGCAAGTCAGAGAGTAATCTGTGGGGATTGGTTCTCTCTTTCTACCATGTGTGTCTTGGGGGTTGAACTCAGGTCATCGGGCGTGGTGGCAAGTGCTCGTACCCCTGAGTCGTCTTTCTGCTTGCTGTTTGTCTCTTGAGACAGGGTCTCATGTAGGCCAGGCTGGCTTTGAACTCCTGATCTTCCTGTCTCTACGGGACCCGGTTCTCAGACGTCTGGTTCCTCTGCTGCCAAGGTAGATCCAGGGGATTGTGGGAAGCCTGGGGTCCCTTCTTCATGGCCTCTGCGTGAGTTCAGGCTGACATTTCCCTCCTTGCCTTAACCTCTGTTCTAGACATTTTTATGTTTCTATGGCAGATTATTGGCTACTCAGCCTCTTGGTGGCCACCATGGTCTTATGATTTATTGTGGTGGTTTGAATAGGAATGGCCTTCGCAGACTCATGTGTTTCAATGCTTGGTCACCAGTGAGTGGCACTATTAGGACATGTGGCCTTGTTGGAGTAGGTGTGGCCTTGGAGTGGGTGTGGCCTTGTTGGAGTGGGTGTAGCCTTGTTGAAGGAAGTGTGTCATTGTGGGTGAGCTTATTTCTTATTTATTTAATTATGGTGAGTGTGGACTCAAGGACTCACACATGCTGGGTGAGTGCTCACCAGTGAGCTACACCCTAGTGTCAGAATGATTTTTAAAATTTTATTTATTTTTTTGTGTATGGGTGTTTTGCTTGCATCCATGTCTGTATACCAAATGTATGCCTGGTGCCTGAGGAGACCAGAGTTACAGACATTTATGAGCTACCATGTAGGTGCTGGGAACTGAACCTGGGTCCCCTGGAAGAACAGTCAATGCTCTTAACTGTTGAGCCATTTCTCCAGCCTGTGTGAGTGTGTGTGTGAGTGTGTGTGTGTGTGTGTGTGTGTGTGTGTGTGTGTGTGTGTGTTTGCGTGTGTGTTGTGCAGTGTATCATCTTTCTATAGCCCAGGCTAACCTCAAACTCATGATCCTCCTGTCTGAAAATCCTGTGTGCTGGGCTCAAACCTAACTTAGAATGCTCTTTTCTTTTTAAAACAAAAATCACATAACAGATCCTTCCTGTGGGTCACATCTTACTTAGGGTAAACTCAGTATTGTTGCTATGCTCTTATAGGCCTTATGTGACCTGGCCTCCTACCCAGGATGGCATCTCCTGCCACCTCCCCTTCCTCACCACATTCCAACTCCAGAACACTTGCTGTTCCTTTGGTCAGCCAAGCTGATGTGTGTCCCAGGGCCTTTGCACATGCTTGCTACTCCCTGCTCCCGGAAAGCTGTTCTTCCAGAACTCTGTCCCAGTTATCCATGTGGTGATACTTTGTTTGTGCTCTAACAAATAAGGCTTGCCTGGAGATCAGAGTGCAGAGCTAGCCGCTATTAACCATAGAAGCCAGGCGGTGGTGGCACACACCTTTATTTCCAGCACTTGAGATCTCATGCCTTTGATCCCAATACTTGGAAGGCACATGCCTTGAATCCCAGCAGTAGGGAGGAGGGAACAGGAAGTGATATGGCTGGGCGGGGAGAGGAATATAAGGCAGAAGGAGATAGGAGTTTGGTCCCCTTTTTGGCTGAGGAGTTGGTAAGGTGAGAGGTGGCTGTGGCTTGCTCCTTTAGCTCTCTGATCTTTCAGCATGTACCCTGATATCTGACTCTGGGTTTTTATTATTAAGACCAATTAGAATTCGTGCTACATATACACACTTAGAGAAATCTTAGTAGCACCTAAGTGCATATGCTAGAGACAGAGGACTGCTATGGGCTCCCCTTTGATGTTAATACTGCATTGCTTTATCAGTGTTTGCAAAGACATGCACACGCCTACTTGTGGATGTAGATGTCCATACATTTTATGTATATGGAATCATGAATTCCCTTTTTTATCAGTACCCACAACTTCTCACTCCTCCCCCTCATCTCCCTGCTCCCCCACATCCTTCTCCTCTTTTTCCTTCTGTGCTATGGGTGAACGAAGACCTAGCATATGGTAAAGCACGGTTTCTACTCCTGAGCTGCACTCAAGCTCTCTCTTCCTTTTGTGAATAGCTAGAGACTGTCCCTCCCATGACATGGAGACTTCATTTAAGCAGCTGGACGCTCAGTCTGAGTTGCTTTTGTCCCTTGTTCTGTATCATAGCTAAACCTTGGGGACCTGCACACATCTCTCTCCCTCTGAGGCCAGTACACTCCCGGGCCTGGGAGATAGCCACCTGCAACTTTTCCTTTTCCAGCTCTAATTGTATGACAAGAGCGCCACACCTCTTTTCTTTAGGAGGACCTTGTGCCTCACTCTCTCCAGGATTTCCATAGTGACCTCTCAGCTGGCTGCCTGTTTTCCAGGCTGCACTGCTTAAAATCCATTCTGCACCTACAGAATGCTCTAGAAGAGAATGATGAGCCTGAACATCTGACAGCTGCTTACATCAACATGGGGTGTGGCCGATGGTGCTAGGCCTGCCTCCCTACTAACATCTGTTTCTCTAACTCTCCACCATCTTCTCATGCCTCTGTGCCTTGCTGATCTTGCTTGACCTTACAAACTTCTATTCATACTTCAAACCCTTCATAGGCATGACTCATTTTGGAAAGCCATCCCTGAACCTCCCCAAGACACCTGTCTATAGTGATGTGCTATGTCAGCACCCATCACACTGTTTTGGAGCCTTGTTTACCAGGCTGGCACTCCCTGAGGACAGGCAGTGCTCTCTCTCACTCTAGAGTGCCAAATGCTATTGACACACAGAAAGCATTTAGTAAAGGTTTGCTGAATGAAAGAAGGAAAGAGGGAAGGGCCTTGGGCATAGAACTGGGAGATATCTTTTGTTTAGGGACCTGGATCCATCCTCTGCAGCCTGCATCTGCTCCAGCCTTCATGGCTGAGCAGCTTTAATCTCTCTCTCTCTCTCTCTCTCTCTCTCTCTCTCTCTCTCTCCACTTTCTGCGGCCAGCAAGCCAGGGTCTTTGACAGGGACCAGGCAGGAATCTGTGGGAAACAGTGTCACAACTAGCTGGTTTCATGTCTCAGTGCTGTGAAACAACTGAGTCGGTTCTCGGTGCGCCCCTCCAGTTTCTCAGCCTCTCCACGGCTCTGCCCTGAATCATAGCGCCATTCTTCTGCTCACTTAATTTAGTGCATTTTATTGATTATGTTGTAGAAGTGGGATATGCGGCGATGAGAACATGCTGGAGAGTGGAACCACCTCCACAGGGGCCCAAACTGCCATTGGCACTACCCTGGGGTCGTTGCTGGCCAGCACGGTCGTCAGCCCTGCCATCTGGGCTCTATAGTAACAACCTTCCTTGAAAACAAACACAC